TGGCTATGGCTCTCCGTGCTCGAAGGGCAGCCACGCCCTCTGACCTGCCACAAACACGAGTGTCAGGTGACCCCCCAATGAATGCAGAGACACAAGAGTCCAGACACTGCCCACCTTGAGAAATATGTGCTTGCCTGTGGTTAGGGGGCTTGGATGCCACAACACTAAGTTGGTGTGAGAATACATTCTCTCTCTCCGGTACCTAGTTCCTGATACTAAGGAGGGGAGCCCCGCCAAGCTTTTGTCTGCCTCTTAATTTCTCCCCTTGAAGTACACAACCGCTCCTTAGGACCCATCCGGGTGTGGGCTAGAGCACACAGGAGAGCTGTTTCACTTTGTGCATCTATCTTGTCCAGGGGGAGCGCCTTAACTTGGACCTGTTAGCGTCTCTACGGCTGGGAATCTTGACGCACGCTGCCTTTCTGCCAAGGCCTCCCTGGTGAAATTGGAACTCTGGGTGAGCAGGTCACTGCTTAATCCGCTGTGCAAACCAGGAGTCCCTTTCGATTATCACTTGTCAGAGGAAACCAGCCTCTAACCACGGAAGGGTCCACGGGCACAACTGGAGGGCGATAATATACAAAAGTCATAGCACAGTCACAGAAGATGGGAGAGACAGGAGCGAGAATAAAATAAAGGAACCAGACACATTTCACGGCAGCACGCTCTCAGCAGCCAGGTCCGTGCAGAGAGAATATATTTCAAACCAAGGCAGATACACACTTAGGGGGTGTGCAAGCCCCCCTGATTACAGGTAACCACATATATAGCAGGAAGGGGCTGTACGATAGGCATACGCGGGACAGGAAGGGGATGAGCTAGGGGTGTACACGCAACACAAAGAGGAGGGGCTGGGGTGCACATGTGACAAGATGGGTGGATCTTAGATTGAAGATGGCAGTCTAATCTTGGTCCTCCTTGAGTTGGCTTGGCTTTGTCTCTGGGCTCTCCTTCAGGGAAACAATCCATTATCATCGGCGGTGAGTGGGCCTCACGTACGGTGGGGCAGACGATAGTGTCTAATGCCTCTAGGTGACCGATACCCCCAGGGAGATGACCGCTATGCAGGTGACCTCCTTACAGTTACCCACCCTGCCCAGCAAGCAGCCTCCTAGGCCAGACTTGCAATACAGGGTATATCCTGAAGAAGAACCCGTTTGCACCCCACAATTATCATCCTATTGCTGTATTAAACATGCCATAGTGTGTTTTGACACGTTCCTACCACATTTCTTCTGCATGAGATATTACGAGAAACATTTCATTGACCTCAGTGGTCTGACTTATGAGACAGATTGGAGTTAGCAAAGAAACGCACTACTCAATCTACTACTCCACATACTGCTCTAGAGGGGCAAGAAGAGCTGTTTTTTATGGTCGTCCAATGTATATATATAAAAAAACAAAACAGCACATACAGCCAGGTAGATACAAGATAGCAAACCATAGTTAATGGACATGAAAATATACAGGGTAAAGTATGATAAAACAATATTTGAACAGTATTAAAAAACATGACCCTTTGAGAAACATACGTGGTGAAATACTTCACAATAGGAAGAATGGGAAATTATCACATAATACAAATTTGAGTTGACGATTTTGGGCGGTAAAAATGACATCGGTAGAAATGTGAGAAACTTAAATCCTATTTGCATCCTTGTTTGCAAGCGCGAAGGGCTTTGAGAGGAGCTGTCGGGAAACGATTCTCAAGACAGCCCCACAGCGACAAAGAAACTCCTTTATCCCTGCCACGAAATAGCGGCAACGACCTATCGTGTCCGTAGGCATTCCTTCTGAAAACACTTTTTCTGAGAAACGTTCTTTAATTCCAGAATTAAAACTTGGCATTTGAAATTTTAGGACTAAGAGTAAGGCATCCCAGTTCTGACAGTCTCTCCATGAGAAGTTAGCACGTGTCAAGTGAGGTATCAGAAATGACTAAAGGAATTCCAATAGTCTCATGTCCGCAAGACGTCTCTTGGGTGGAGTTTTCCTGCGTGCACAAAGCTGAGGAAGGCTTAAAGGCGTGCCCATTCCTGGCGTTCATAGGGCCCCTTTCCCCCGTGTGAATTTTTCTATGCTGAGTGAGGTTTGAAGGGTGCTTAAAAGCTTTGCCACATTCCTTACATTCGAACGGTCTCTCTTGACTGTGAATTCTTGTGTGTGTATTTAGGTGAGAGGATTGGGTAAACGCTTTCCCACAGTCCTTACATTCATACGGCCGCTCTCCAGTGTGAATTCTTCCATGTATATTCAGGGCAGAGGAGGAAACAAAGGTTTTCCCACATTCCGTACACTCATAGGACCTTTCCACGCTGTGGATTTTCCTATGGTCCGTGAGGTTTCCACTCCGCCGGAAACGTTTCCCACACTCTGGGCATTCATAAGGCATCTCCCCGGTATGGATCCTCCTGTGCACATGGAGCGCTGAGGAATACTTAAATGCTTTCTCACACTGCTGGCACTGGTAGGGTCTGTCCCCGCTGTGCGTTTGCAGGTGCACGCTGAGGTGTGGGGAATCAATAAACGCTTTCCCGCACTCCTGGCATTTATACGGTTTCTCCCTGCTGTGAGTCCTCTCGTGCCTCATGAGGGAGGAGAAATGAGTAAAGTGTTTCCCACACTGCTCACATTCAAAGGGGTTCCCTCCATGGTGACTTCTCCGATGTGACATGAACTGCTTACCGGAAGGGAAGGCCTTCCCGCATTCCCTACATTGGTAAGGCTTCTCTCCTGTGTGGGTCAGCCCATGCTTAGTGAGGTAAAAGGAAGTCTTAAAGGCCTTCCCGCATTCCTTACATTCAAAGGGCCTCTCTTCACTGTGCGTTCTCTGATGGCCCGTGAGGGTGGAGGCATCGTTAAAGGCTTTCCCACAGTCTCCACACTCGAACGGTCTCTCTGTACTGTGAATGTTCCTATGTCTATTTAAGTGGCAGGATCGGATGAAGGCTTTCCCACACTCCTCGCAGGCAAACGGCCGCTCTCCCCGGTGTGCTCGCACATGATTGGTCAGGGAGAACCGGGAAGTGAAGGCTTTCCCACATTGCGGACACTGGTAAGGGTGCTCTCCGTGATGAGTCCTTCGATGGATCGTGAGGTTGGAGGATTCCCTGAAGGCTTTCCCACATTCTTGACACGAATAAGGTCTCTCCCCCGTGTGAGTTCGTAAATGTTTGGTGAGGTTTGAGGAAGAAGCAAAATCTTTGCGACAATGCTTACACGTGTAAGGCTTCTCTCCAGTATGCACTCTTCTATGTACACGGAGCGTGGAGGCTTTCTTAAAGGCTTTCCCGCATTCTTTACACGCATGCGGTCTGGCTGCACGGTGAGATCGAACATGCGCAGTGAGATAGGAGGAATGGGCGAAGGCTTTCCCACATTGCTGGCATTGATACGGCTTCTCCCTGACTTTCCCACGCTGCTGACATTCATAAGCTCTCTCCCCACCGTGAGTTTTTAAGTGTGACGTGAGCTCTGCTGAGAGACGGGAGGCTTCCCCACGCTGCTGACATTCACAAGGCTTCTCTGCGTGATGAGCTTCTCTGTGCACAGTGAGGGCTGAGCAACGCTGAAAGGATTCTTCTCTGCATTCATTACCTTCGCTGCACTTTGTACCCGTGAGGGCGATCTCAGGACTCTGAAGAGGGGGCACGGAAAGGGGGTCCTGTCCAGACACCTCGTAGTTACGGGGTTCCGCGGCATGAACAGCTCTCAGAGGAGGGGTCAGGTCAAAGCAACAATTGTAGGCGCCTGCACACTTCCTACACGGACAGGTTGTGCAGCCTCTCTGAGGTGAGGTAGGGTTCTTCTGTGGTAAGTGATCCGTGAGAGGTTCTCCAGACTCATAGTGCTCAGAGACAGCTCCTCCTGGAGGACTTCTTTGGAATAACGTGGGATTTGGGATCCGGCTGGTGGTCTTTCCACATGGATTTCCTTCATGACTTTCATAGGTGACCTCCACTGTTCGGCTTCTGTAACAAACAAGCAACGTGTTGTCAGACATGAATCTGGCCATTCTAATCTAACTCTGCATGTAGGAAAGTACACCGCAGATACTCTATCGTTTGCATCATCGTTTTCTGCAACAAAGGATGATGATCAAGCGAAATACGTAGCAGATGTTGGCTATGACTCCCATTTCTCAAAATGTTTTACTGTAACAACCATCAGCGGTTGCGTAATTTTAAATCTAACCTCACAAATCAGGCTCCTGAAATTAGGGGGATACAAGGGGCTGGTTTATTTGCATGACTGTGGAAAGTGACAGAAGTAAAGAGGTGTAAAACGTCGCCATCTGTGAGCGAGACACCGTGATCTTTTCCTTCGTGGGTCAAATCCAATGGGCAGTAGATGTAGTTGCTGTGGAATGAGCACACAGGTATTGTTTCTGCTGGTAACCGCTAAACCGTTACAAACCAGTACACAAACAGAAGCCTATCTGCGTGTCGTTTAATGCCAGGTAACTTTAGAACTTTCTTCTGAGCCCCTGTTGTCCACTGTATAAATCACACTCACCTCTCAGAGCTCCCCTGGCTTTTAGGTCGATCTTTATCCACATGGGACTCAGAGTTTTCTCCAAGCAGGAAGGACCAGGTGTGGTTATTCCTTAATGGCACTGCTGATTGTTTACAGGATAACATGTTCCCATCCTTAAGATTTCCAGACACTGACCGAGCAATTGAAGTTTGCAAGCGGAAACCCAAAGGAAGAAAGAAAAAAGTATTAGTCAGCAAAAGGAGAGGGTCTTAAACAGGGAAAGACAAGGTCACGGTTTGCGGTTTCAGAATGTCAGCAGTGGCTCCCAAACAAAGGACGAGAAATCGCTTGTATAAAAACTGACAGTGACGGTGATATCAAGAGGTGTCCTTCGGAAGGCCAGGTGGAAAGATGCTGGGCACCATTCACATGGAACCTTAAAAGAGAATTAAACGTCTGCCTGAAAATAGGTGGCTAACTGAAGTCGGAAAAGCTTACACGTGTGTGAAGTTGGTGTCTGCAACCCAAAAGAATCGCTTTACACTCGATGCAAATGCAATTCCTTCCCGAGTTGATTCCCAGAAACAAACAAACGAACTGGCTGCCATTGTGCAGGTGCAGACTCACGGCGACGCTACTGGGCAGGGCAGCAAGTTTCTGGGCCTGTATGTATCTCCGTGTGGAAGTACAAAGCCCCGTGGATTGGCTGGTGACTTAGAACTGGTGACCTTGCAGTTAACAGCCCAAGGCTTTACTCATGATGCTACCAGGGCTCCTCTCCACCCAGGGCTGGGTCATTTCAACAAAAGCCCCCAAACTCTTTTCAGTTGTTCCTTGACAGAAGCCCTGGATGAACTCCATCTGTGCTGTGATCAAATCTTTCCTTTGTGTTTCTGGGGAAACAAACGAGTACACCCGACATGGTGCTCGTCAGGAGAAAGTAAAATGTTCATTTCATAGGCGAGAGTTTGCTCATTCAAGCACTTTATCCATCAAGGAACTTCCCACTTAAAGGTTCGCGATGGAGGAAGGATACGGGAGCTCCACAGTTCAAGGTACCTGGTGCTTCACTCCACAAGATGGTCCATTGCTCAGCCCAAGTCATGGAGCAAAGGCGACGACGAAACCTCTTTTGTTAACCAAAGGAGTAAAAGAGGAGAGACAGACAGACAGACGATTCCTACCTGACCTCAGGTTCCTCAGGGTCTCCACCATCACATCCTGGTAGAGCTTCATCTGAGCACAGTCCAGCAGAGCCCATTCTTCCCGGCTGAAGTGGATGACCACGTCCTCGACAGCCACCGAGGCCTAAAAACAC